ATTGAGTTGCAGAGAAGCAGGACAGCGGAGGGGTTTCCTGTGCGAGCAGAATTTGTTGAGAGCAACCGTCGCATGCGAGCAGGAAGCCGACGAGGGTGAGCGAGAGTGATGCGAGGGTTTCGGTACAGAGGAGGCGAGCGGGAAAGGAGTCAAATTTGGATCGCAAAGGGTGAGGTGGAGCGGGAGCCTCTGTCGAGTGGGGGTCTCGATGCAGAGGAGAAGAGAGCCGAATGGGAGAGGCGAAGTTTCGGTGTGGAGGGGAGGTCGCAAGAGGGGAGGCGAAGCAGGCGCTAGCGAAGCAGGTGCTTCTGCGTGTATAAGCTGAGTCAATTAGCCCATGTCCAGCCTGAATCAAACCTAAGTCGGACTTAGGTTGAGCCCGGGCCCGCGCCCCGCTAATTTAAAAAAATAATAATAATAATAAAAAGGTGCATCGATATCCGTGTTAGTTGCGCGCGCGCAAAATCATAGTGATATGGGTGTCTCTCCTAGCTAAAGTCGACGTCCCGGACGCGTCGGCGCGATCGGTTTCGTCATCCGGGGCCGTCCGGACGAGTTTGCCGATTGACAAATCAAATCAAGTGAAAGTCGTGTGCAGTGAGGGCATGAATTGCAGCGTTCACGAATGGTTTACCTAAGGGCATTTGATCCTATAGGAACTCATTTTCGGGCCCTCTACATGTTGGTCCTTAGCCCTTGCAACTGGAAGTTGAGTGCTTGGAACCATTCATGCGAGTTCTTCAAAAAAATGAGTCAAGAAGTGGCTTTAAGGTTTGGCTCCATTGCTAGTCCGCTATGATGGTCAATAAGAATTCCTAAAGCTAAATCCTAGGTTCTAAGAGTAGGAGACTAAGACCTCACTAAAAATGAGGTCAACAAGCATACATATATTTAATGACTTGAATATAAGCAATATCAACAACATTCTTTTCTAGAACTTTCCAAAGTACTTCTCTCGAAGCTTTATCATAAGTTTTTCTATGATAAAGCTTTTAATTTTAATAAACTTTATCATAAATTTTATCATAATTTTTTTTCTATGTAGATTCTTTTTATTCTCTCTATACTTTTCCATCAAACCTTTCAATAAATATAGAGCTTGGTCAAAAGTGAAATAAAAAATATAAGAAGATTGTATGAAAATAGATTGTATGTTGATATAAGAAGATTCCATTATAATGGTTGAAAGAAAAAATATACGAGTTCTTAAAGTTTTTCAAGTTAAGTGATCAATATAAAGATTGTATGATATGGATGTCATTGTCCTCAGTCCAACAAATCACATGATTAACGGAACGAGCCCTTGACAATTGGTGTTTGTTTTGCCTATTGTTCTGGGCATCTAGGTGTGATTGTTGATATTTGTTTCAACCACTAAATACACACGCACATGCGTGCGCGCGCGCACACATACATATATGCATACATACATATAGATAGATGGATAGATATTTTGTTTTATATGTATGTATGTACGTATGTATGTATTAAACTTCAAAAATGTTATTCAACTATGTGTGTATGGCCAATTTAGTTCCACAGCACCTCATTTGGAGAATTGTGTTACTACTGGATTGCCGCTCATGAATAGCCAGGGGACTATTTATTTATGTACATATACATATATATACATATATAAATATGTTTATGTATTTTTGTTCATATTTATGTATGTATATTAGTAGAACATCTTAAAAAATGCTTTTAATTTATGTTCATTATTATAAAATGTACGCACCATGCATGCCATTTTCACCATATATGAAATATATGTAAGAAGTACTGTTAAATTTATAGTCAATGTTATTGAAATAAAATAATTCAATTCAGATTTTGTGTATCACGGGGATTTGAAACATTCGGCATTATCATGCAAGCCAAAAAAAATAAATTCTAAATTTAATTAGTGCACAATTCACGGATAATACTTCCTGCTACAGTAACATTTGCCTTTATTTTAATCAGTAGCTTGATGTTAAAAGTCACAAAATAGATGTTCTCGTTCAACCACTTTATGAGCAACATTTCATAAATGATAAGGGAGTCTTACAGAACTTTGCTTTGAATACCTACAATCTCGACCTTTAATAATAAGTTTTCCTTTCTAAAGAGACATTTTAATCATTTGTTAAAGCAAACATAAATTGTATAAATTAATCTCTTGTTGTCATCTTGTAATATCATTTGTTAAGAAATAAGAAGCTTGAGTAAATGTTATTTTTTTCTTTTACATGCCTGGATATTTGTCTAAAATAACAAAAACGCAACTTGCCAATCCCTTGATCCCATTGAGAAAACTGAACTGGGGCTACCCACCTACTTAATAAAACTACATGTCATTTATATTAGTAAATTTTAAAAATATGAGCGCAATATATTCTAACCATTTTCATGTTCTTAGAGAAATATTTTTTATACCCAATAATAATAAATTCTCTAATAACAGTGAGTTTGTGATGCTTATTGCTCCAATGCCAATCAATTTGGATGGCAACCCATCAACAATTTATAAATTATAGTTTTCTAGTAAAAAGTGAGCTTTTGTTTCTAACTTTGTGGCAGTGATCAAACTGAGGCCCAACTTTTTTGAGTATGATTATAACTACATATATTACACTTCTAGTAAAAAGGGTCGAGTCCTCCGGATTAGTTGAGATATTTTACTCCTTGATTTCCTATCATGATTTTCCTTTGCTTTTCTTCTCTACAAACTTCAGAGAAAACTTCTCAGATAGATAGATGTTAAGATCTTCATCCCAAAACTTTTTTTTATGGAGGGTTAGCAATGGCGGTGAGAATCATGGGCGGACCTGCATTCAATCCAGAGGGAGCAATTGCCCCCCCTCCTAAATTTTGAAATTTTGCTAATTAGAGTGGGTCATTCCATGATTTGCCCTCCCCTAAACACATAAGTTTGCCCCTGCCAACTCCACTGACCCGCCCAGGCACCCAATATGTTATTGAATAATTCTTTATATATATTTTTAATAACCTCAAATTCTTATTAAAGTATGCTATAAATATATTAAAGAAATGTATTCTTTTTATATTAAATTTCTAAGTTTAGATTTGAGTATATAATTTTTTATTTTGAGTTGATTAAAATTTAGAGCGTGAAATCAAATTATCTGTTGTATTATAATTATTTAAGATTAAAAAAATAATATAATCTTATCACATGACATGCCAAAATTTTAGCCTTTTTAAATTTTTATACAAGTTAAGTGATTTCAATTAAATGGCCTAATTATATATTTGGCTATCTAAATAGTGGTGTGACAAACATTAAATTTATTAACCCCCTCAAAAAAAAGACTGGTTCTGCCTCTGGTAAGAATTAAGAACATAATTACTGATTTTGCCAGTTGACCATAGTTTTTTCCGTTTACCTTGTGCCCTGTGGTAGGAAGAAAGGTGTTGTTTTCTTGATTTTCATTGCTGCTATGAATTATTGATTCATGGCTAGAGGTGATGTTATGGTTGTAGCATCTATTAATTCATTCCTTATTTAACCCTCATCATAGATTAATTGGGAAGATAAAATTGGAGAAAATTATTCTATTTTTTAATTTAATAAGGAAGAAGAATATATCTCATAGAGGAATTCAACGAGAAAGCAGCCCAGGCTAGTCCAAATGAGGAGATAAACTATTGTATAACCAAAATCCCTGGACCGGATTCAAGGTGTGATGTGAGTCGGGCAGCTGATCTTGCAAAGTAGCTCAGTCAGAATGCCGGTCTAGGGTACTTGGTCCGCGTTACTCGACCACGACAACTCGGGCAATTCGCCTCGGGGCTGAATAGGCCGACAAAGTGTTTTTGAAGATGAGACGTAGAAGAAATATTTAAGCTGGGGAGCAGCTACTAAGGAGAAGCTTTACAAGATATTATAATAACAGTCAAGATGATTTATGTCATGCAATTTAACTCAGGACTACTCATCTATAAATAAGGGTAGCAACTGCAGATTAAAGGGGAGATTTTTCCTGAATATTGAAGCCACTCATTTCTCCTCAGCCTTTTTCTGTTCTCTAAGGTCGTCATTCTTTCTAGCTCTTTCCTTGATGGTACAAATGCACGGATAAATCTAGATCCAACAACTACTAATCAGCCACAAGCTAAACAAGGAAAAAATTTACAGTATAATACAAGAGTTCCTAAATAAACAATCAAATCAGGAGAATTGAATACAAACTATCATTCTCCCTTGGGAACATATGCCTATCCAAAAGGGATGTTTGTGATTCCCTGAGTGCAAATAGTGGCAAAATTATTGGCAGAAGCGAATCCGGTGACCTCAATAGGTTTATTTCCTAGGTTTATATATGTGTCGCAAGCCGTGGCCTGTTGGTTGGCGGGGTTAACTGTAAGTCCCCTCAGGTCACGGGTTCGATTCTCCGCAGCACGGGGTTCTCGAATAGTTAGACACATGGCGCGGGCTCTCATCATGGGGTCTTGATGCGCATGGGAAATCGATATTTGGGCTTTTGCCAAATATCAATTTCCTTGTTAATATATATAACGACCGGAGGCTGTGTACGAGCCCCAGTCATTCATAATACGCCTAAGAATTTGAGTACCACACCCTACACTCGGGGGGAATCGAACCCTAGACCAGAAGGGAGTTACAACTGACAAGCAGATGTCCAACTAACTAATCTAAGTATGCGGCGTTTTTACAGTTGGATCAGGAGTTACTTCCAGGAATTCCAATTTGTGGGATTGTTTTTCCTTCTTTTTCCGCACATTCTTCGGCTCAACAGGCATACTTCATATGTTGACTTTTTTCTATGCATAAATTGATTTTGTGTATTATTATGTCATATAAACAGTGTTGTTTAAAAACTGTATCCAGATATATATATTGTCATCTGCTTGATTATTATTATTATTTTTTTCCGTTCTTATATATAGCAGAAGATGGCATAAATTTTACATGTATAGTTGTATTCTATCCAACGACATTAGCTTCATGATTTCATGCTTTAAAATTTAACCAGGGAATGTCCATTAGACCTCAAAGAAGCAATCTCAAGCATATGCTTCGCAGCGCCGAGGTGCTCAGACTTGCCTGAACTGTTTCAGGTACAGATTTTATTTGCGAGCAAATATGGGAAGGAATTTGTTGCAGCTGCTACAGAACTGATGCCAGATTGCGGAGTAAATCGCCAGGTTTAGTGAACTTTCGACCATCCAACTTCTGATTTGTTCTGTTCACAAATCCCACTTAATTAAATTTGTTTACAGATTATTCAATTATTGTCTGTTCATGCTCCTTCTGTGGAAACAAAATTGAAACTTCTCAAGGAAATTGCTGAAGAGCATGAGGTAGACTGGGATCCAGCTGCAACTGAATCCGAGTTTCTTAAGCCACATGAAGATTTATTGGTAAGGGGTCAAATTATAACCATTTAATCATACTCGTGGTTCTCTATTTTTATTATTATCAATATTATTTGTGATTTAACTTGTTCTTATCGATCAGAACGGACCAAACTACATCAGTGGCAGTGCTGCATTGCCTCTTCCAAAAGAGAAGCATATTGCTTCTCCCAGTAGGAACACTGTAGAAGAGATAGACCAACCTGATTCAGATTCTGGTGTTGATTCATGGGATTTCCCAGAAGTGCCAAGAAGTTCAGTTCAAGCAGATTCAGATTCCCCTCAATCACCAGCCATTGTTCATCATCCACATCCTCCTCCTTCCCCGTTCAATTCTGAGGTTGGACAAGAGGAACCAAAGGAGAAGAAGCAGTTTATCCCCTTTGTGTCTCCACCTTCTCCCCCATCTCCACCACCAGCTCCATTACATGCAAAGTTAACAGAGGCATCTACTCCCCCCTCTCAAGTCAAGTCCGAGGCCAAAGAAGACCTACAGGATGTCCTGGCTGCTGCTCAGGCAGCTGCAGAGTCTGCTGAGCAAGCTGCTGCTGCTGCTCGTGCTGCTGCAAGCCTTGCCCGGCTTAGAATCGCCGAGCTTAATAAAAAGAGCCAATCCTTTCATGATTCTGAGAATGGAGTGAATCAAGGGGAGAATCCAACATGGAACCAGCACAATTTAGATGATGATGTAAAGCATGTTCCTTCTTGGGATTCAGGCACTCCAACCCAAGATTTAACCAAGATGGAAGCTGGCTCACCTGATTATACAGGATTGATTCCAGACTATAACAGAGATCATAAACCTCAGAGATCTACTTCGCTGGAGGATTATCCATATTTCAGCTACCCTAACCTGTTCAGCAGCAGGCAAGATTCTAATCTCCATTCGAGTTTCTCTTCCCCGGAGAATTCTCGGCCAGCTCATGATTCGTGACAGCAGTGTCGAACAACATTCGTGTTTCTTACCTTCCATTATTTGTGCCAATTTGGTATTTGTACTGTAATGTTCCTTCAGAGCAGAGGTGTGATTCCTGTCTTAGTAGAGTTTCACTTGTTAAATTTCAACGGTCTGTCTGTACAAGCAAATGGTTATAATTGCCCTTCTTCATCAACTCGATGGACTACTGGCTTTTCAATTTCTTACTCTGTGAACTCATCTGTCATCATATGGTGCATTTCATTACCACTTATAGTGATCCAAATGTTTTCATTTATTTATTTTCATTATTTTTTTGGTATCATAAAGTGCATGGTTCTCAGTCTCTTTAATAATTTATGCGGTAAGTTTATGCATTTAGTTCTAGTTTTTCCTTTTTCTCCACCACTTATATTAAGCTGCTTGGATAATGCATTCTTAACAGTATTAATTAGTTATATTTTAGTATAATTACTTTAATTTTCCAATCATAAAGACACATAATAGAGCTTATAATAAATTATAATAACTACAAAAAGTTTCAAAATTTTTAATTTTCTCATAATAATCCTACATCTACAGTCAATACAAAATGGTTCCCAACTCTCCCAAAAAAAAAAAGAGGGGAAAAGGGGCATTTACATAAATGCCACATAATTATTATGTATTTACATATTGAACACCTTAACTTTCATGGTTAATACATAACAATAAAATCTTTAATATCACATAAAAAATCTCACTATTATAAGTTTTTTAAAAGTAAAATATATCTTTTCATACACAGATTTATCACACCAAAATATTATAAATGTAAATGTCAAACTTTTGATATTTGATATGTAAATATATAGAAATTGTGCGGTAGGTATGTAATTTCTAAAAAAGAAACACATACACACAAAAGCCATCAGGGAGACTCATTTGAACTGAATGATGAGCTATCCTCATCCCGTTCAATTGTGGGATCCATTTCTGAATCTTCAGAGTCTGATATAATTGATTCCTCATGTGAGCTGTAAAATTCAGAACTGTGAGTAGAAGCATCTGTGAGGCTCTTCTGAGTTCCTTCATCTGATTCAGATAAAAGAGAAAATGATTTCTCTTCAGAGTTCTTGTGGGCATTCCTATCATAGTCCTTTCCCCTCCATACTACAATTTGTTCCTTTTGGAATGTCACAAGGATGCAAGGCACCAAGTCCTGATTAACAAAACCAGAAGAAAATTTCAGATTTCAAATTAAACAAAAGCAAAAAAATGAGGCATACTGAGTCCAAAATATTACATCATAACTGTCATTTCTACATCAAAAAATGGATTTTTGAATGTTTTAGGAAGACAGGAAGGCTGCCCAACATACAAAAAATGGAAGCTATAGGTCTGATAAAAGGCAAATCAGATATAAAAAGTATCTCTTGCATAGAAAGATGGGATTGATAGAAGATGACTCAATTGAAAAATTCCCATACTGACCCTTCTATAACCTCTTCGTTCATGTTCAATCAATGGGCGATACCAGAGGAGAAACAAGCACTGAATCGGAAGAGTAGTAGATTTACTTAGCTACCTATATGTCTATGTGTGTGATTTGATTTGAACTTATGTGTTTGCTTTACTTATCACTTGATTCTGGCTAAATGTATATCATTTGGTATTTATTCTCAAAATGAGTATATGTACACTCATGGCGAAGGGGGGTCCAAAACGAACTCAAGAAATGAAATGAAGGCCGATGTTAAAACTGTTTCGGCAAATGTTAAAATAGAGTCGGATAAAAAAAAAGAAAACTTATTTGTATTTGTGAAAGGGTTGGTAAAGCTCTAGTGGCAAACAAAATTAGATCAGAGTCGTTTTAGGTAGTTTAGTCACGTTAAACATCGACCATCTGCTGATTATCTTCGGAGATTAAATGTTTTAGATTCAACTTATGTTAAGAAAAGATTTGAGCATGTTATATAAAAAATGAAAAGACGATACTCAATAGGACACAATGGAAAAAAAGGATTTATGTAACCGACCCCACTTAGTGGGATAAAGGATTGTTGTTATTGTATTAAACAAATAAAAAACTGAAACATAATAAGCACAAAATATTATATCGCAAGTGTCATTTCTACCTCAGAAAATGGATTCTTGAATGTTTAGGAAGACAGAAGCCTACCCAAGATATAAAAAAAGGAAGCTATAGGTTTGATAAAGGGCAAATCAGATCTACCAAAAATCTCCAGCATAGATACTGTCTTTCATTATGACTTGGTTATGGCTATAAATACATATCATTTGGGATTTTATTCTTAAAATGACTATATGTACACTCGTGGCAATGGGGGTCTGAAACTAACTCATGTGATGAAATGAAGGCCGATGTAAAAACTATTCCGGCAAATGCTAAAATGGCGTCGGATAAAATAGAAAACTGAAGCGTTACATTTTGTATACTTAATTTAATCCAGTGCTTAAGAAAATGAAAAGAGGCATGAGTTGAAGATCACTTTTGCTTTTAAAAACATTGTTTTGTACATTTCTTACATGGTTTTTTCTTTGTTCTAAAAACAAATCAACTTATTTTTATAAACCCTCGAAATAACTAAAGTTTTTTAAAAAATTAATTTATGTTCAATATGTAAAATATGCTCTATTTTTAATCAAAATATATACAAAATAAAAAAAGTGATTATTACGTACAGACCGCCCGAAATATTGATATTTACAAATTAATCACTAAAATGTGATTTTTATGAACTACTGAACCAATGTATTTACATGTGTCACGATCAAACTATTGAGAATTTGATAAAAATAAAAAATATTGGTTGGTTTGATATTTGAGTGAGAATTTGAAAAATGGATAGAAGAGGGTGGTTGATTTTTAAATAGCAAGCTTCGGATGGTCTGCATGTAATCATCCCAATAAAGAAATCTAAAATAAAAAACCTCTGATTGTATGTCTCACCCGGAGTTTAACTCCTATTTTCTTGTAATCAGTTGTAGGAAGGCCTTTGCAATCTATACGGACTAACTCATCAGTCAAAAAAGCATCCCTAACCATTGGAACAAGACTAGCATAGTAGCCATTCTTGGCTGCAATATAGAAATTAAGTTACCTCACATATATAAAAGACAATAACATGAAAGTAAGAGTTTTTGTGATAAAAGCATTACCCAACTTTGTTAAAGCAGGAACAGCAAGGCCTCTCTTCCTCATCAATTTTGTCTCATCAACGCTCAATCCATCTATAACTGTTCTAATCAATCTTGGATAGACTGGTTCGTGAGGTTTCCAGAGCATTAATGGAATCTTAGGCCTTTTCTTGGCATTATAATGCCTTCCTCGAAACAAGATGATCTGACCGCCATGTCTGTGGATAATAAGGCCGCCTGTTTTTTCCTGAAAATAAACATATATCAAATGTCTTGGAATGCTATATATTATGAAAAAATATATGGAAAGAAAGCGAAGTGCCAAACTAGTTCCCCGACTACGTACATGGGATCATTTCAATTCTAGAGTCTAATAAAAGTATTAAAGGACTCTTTTAATATGGGCTAAAAGAAGTCCTCATTAATGCCAAGATTCAAGAGCCAAACATCATAAGGGGATATATATCTACCCCAAAATGATAGGTCCATATAGAGCTTGCATAAGATACTGCTAATAAGCAAAGCATTTATAACAAAAAAGAAAAAAGAAAATACCTCAAGTTGGTAGCACACATTTTTCATATCAACGGTTGGCACGCCGAGACACTTAATCCTGACAGCCTCACAATTCTTCCAGCTATTATGAATATCATTCAACATATTGTGTGTGAGGCCATCTCTTCCTATATAAACAGCTTTTAAAGTAAGACCATTAAGTACATAAACAGAAAGTCACAAAAATGGCAGGTAAAAAAATGTGCTGCGTGTTCTACAAATATTATATGGAAAAAAATAATAATAATAGTATCTCTGCAAATAGAACACAGTTAAAGATTAGTGAAGCTCGAATTGAGCATTTGCCTTCCACGTAGGACAAAATACGGGAACATACATGAGAAGTGAAAAAGATTTATTTAGAAAAAAATAAATAAATAAGAAATAAATGCATCACAAGAACGAATAAACAATTCGCCTGGATTATTACTCAAATTTTCTTTTTATAAATCATATTTTCCTTCATGCGAACATTTATATGATCATTGATGCGGGATTTATCAAAGCCTTGAGTTCTACTAAAGTAAACAAATGTAAAATGACTATTATGAAAACGTATATGCAATAAAGAGATAAACTTCATAGATTTAAAATGTGACACAGAACAACATAATGATAGGAGATTTGATGGAAAGTATACAGAGAAAAGAGCATGATAAGATTCCAACAGAAGTATTTTGGAGAGTTCTACAAAAGAAAGTTGTTGATATTGTTTATGTTCAAGTCATTAAAGAGATGTATACTAGAGTTGTTACTTGTGGTCTAACACAAAGAGGATTGACAAAGTATTTTTTATTTTAGTTGGATTACATCCGGAATTTGGTCTAAACCATATCTTTTTTACTTTAGTTGAGGAATGTCTCACTAGATTTTTAGGAAAACATGTACCTTGGTGTATGCTTTTTGCTAATGATATCCTTCTTGTGGATAAGACTAGAGAGTTTTCAGAAATAAAAACTTAAATTATAAAGGTCAACTTTAGAGTCTAAAGGCTTTCATTTGAGTAGATTTAAAATTGAATACATGAAATGTAATTTTAGTAGTGGTAGATCTAGTAGCTAGATTTTAATAATGGGTGATCAAGTCATTAAAAGAAGTGATTGTTTTGGATATCTCGGGTTTATTATTCAAAGTGATGGTGATATAGATGAGGATGTAATCAGTAGAATTCAAATTGAATGATTGCAGTAGAGGAATGCATCAAGCCGAATGTGTGATGGAAAAGTACCGCTTAAGCGTAAATGAAAATTTTATAAGATGGTGGTGAGACATGCAATGCTTTGTGGTGTAGAATGTTGGCCCATAAAAGAGAAGCATGAAATTAAGTTAAAGTGTTGCTGAGATGAGAATGCTCAGGTGTATGAGTGAATTTACACTTGACATAAAATGTGAAATGAATATATCGGTGGAAGGGTGGGTTGGAGTAGCTCCAGTGGCAAACAAAATTAGAGAGAGCTGCCTTAGAGTTTGATCATATTAAACGCCATCTAATGACCCAATTAAAAGAGTAGAAGTGTTAAATTTGACTTATGTTAAGAAAGGTAGTGGTAGGCCTAAAAAAACTTGGGCAAATTGTATAAAAAATGATCTTAAATTATTAGAATTAAATGAAAATAGGACACAATAGAGAAAAATGATACATATAGCCAAACCCACTTAGTGGTATAAAGGCTCGTCGTTGTTGTATTTATAACACCTTGCCTATCTATACAAAAGCGTATTTCACACCTTTTAAAAGTTAAAATAATGTTATTTTTGATGTGATAGGAAAGATCTCGGTATTATAAAGGTAAAAAGTAAAATTTAGGTAACGGATAAGTAAATTCATAAAAATTGGGCGGGATGTATGTAAATGATTCCCTTCTTTTAAATTTATCACACTTCATGTATTACTTGGAAGTGTGTATTTCACCTTTTAAAAGTTCAAATAATAATATTTTTGATGTGAAGGGAAAGATTTGGGTGTTATATATGTAAAAAGTAAAATTTAGGTTTTGGATAAGTAATTTCATAAGAATTGTGTGGGATACATGTAAATGCCACCCTAATGTTAAATTTATCATACTTCATGTATCGCTTGACCATTGGCTAGTATTGAATATTCAATAAAATATTCAAATATGGTAAAACTGCAACTCAACCTCAGCCATTTTCCTAATAATTCTAAAACTCTCATCACTTAAAGGTTTGATCTTCTAATAATTCCAACTTTCCAACAATCACTTTCTATAGTTTCATTTTTCAATTAATTTTAAAATTTTTATCACCTAAAGGATTCATTTTACGAATAATTCAAAAATTGCAACCCGAATCGATCATTTTTCCACTAATTCCATTAGAATCTTGATCAAACCACTTTTTTTTAATTGACCATCTTCTTATAGATTCATCTTCTATTCCAGCCTATGCTAAAACAACTTAAGAGTATTTTATATTCCTCATTTCAAAATATCTTTAAATGGTTAATTAAAACTCTATAGTATCCCCTTTTACCATACATCCTCATAACTAACACTTAACTGATTTCTAATTGCATTACCACCTAAAGGATAATCTTAAAAATAGCACATTACTGGATGTAAATTCTACCGACCATGTGATTTGCACTCTTCACAATACCACTAGAATTTCTAATTGTCATTATTCTTTTATGCAAGATAACTTTTTAAATGATAAATTGTAATATAATTTGTAATTATATAGGTTAAGAACCTTCCAGATTTTCCCTCTTTATGAAAATATATCTCTCCTATAAATATTGTAGCTACTTCACCCATCGGAATTAAAAAAATATGTAATAGTTTTCTTTCAAAATTTTCAACAATTGCTCTATGTTTTATTTTTTTGAAGCTTCAAAACCAATCTCGCCCATCATAACTTAGTCTATCTCTAAACAGCACACACTTATGCATATCATTTTGAATACATGTTGCAAGTATATTATGACTAGTACCAAAAAAAATGATTTGAATGTTTATTAATCAAAATTATGATTCTATTGCGAGTTGAAAATAAGTAAGAATTTCCTTACACATGCAATTATTACACAATGTCTACAAAATCAATTATAATGACGCCTAATGATAGAATTTTTAAAATCGAGAAAAATATGTCAATATTCTTCTTCAATTTCATACTTTTCTACCAGTTGTATAAACAAAAAAATATCATTTATTTTGTTCGTAAACTAAATTAATTTTACAATGTAAGCTTACAAGCTTAATTCCTAAATAAATATCATGCATTTGAACAACCTCTTCATTCTTCAAATTTTATATTTAAACATTTCTTCTTGCCACTTGGCATTCTACTATACTTTATGTTTTAAGGAAAAGATTTCTTAACCAAACATAACACATAATGTTAGTTTTGCTATCTCAAAGATCTCCCAATGCCTTAACTTTATATATTTCTTCAATGTTGAATTAATTTTACTTTTCTAGGGAAATATATCGAATACTTAGTATTTTATAATAAATTTCATTTTGTTTCTTTAGTGTTTATCCTTTTTTAAACTCTAATTTAGTAAATACTCAATGGGATATTTCCAACTTTAGATTATATCCCCTTGTTAAATCTAACTTGATCATAGTCTTTTAAATTTCCCTTCAACAACTTTACAACGATATATACTTTTTCATCTTCCTTAAGCTCCAATATATCTTAAAAAACATCAAAGATTTAGCCTGATTTGTCTCAATATCCTCTGAGCATCTTTTACCTTGTTAGTGTACTATATAACTTGACCAGCTTTTGAGATTTTTGCATTCCTTGAAAGCAACTTTTGATCATTTTAACAACCTTTGCACTTCTTGCTCCACACCCAAAGTACGCTATAACTCTTTCACTCCAACATCCAAAGATTTCTTCCGCAAAGTTCTTCATACAATTAGCAATGTTCACCCAACCTAAAATTTTCTTTCCCGAGTCCTGAGTTTGAATTCATTGCTTTTCCGATGCTATCTATGTAGCAAAGATAGATTCTTTCATTAGAAGTTTTACCAAAATACCCAAAAACAAAAAAGGATTTTAACTACCGGCTTTTCAGTATTAAGGTCTGCTGCCAAAATTTCTCCAAAAGTTTCTTCAGAGCCTTTGGAAGTAGGTTTTATCTCTTTCGTTCATAATGGAATTTTATTATGTAATGGGTGTGTTGTTGACTAAAATGGTTGCTATGATTTACAGAGCAGTGATGGCTTCTACGAGCTTGGGAACAATTGGAAAACCTTCAATGAACTGAAAGCATACTCCGAGGAAGCGGGACTAAATAGTTTCTCTTGAAAATTTACCGCTTTATATCTATCTAAATTGAGCTCACATACCATAAGCCCGCAACAAAAAACAAAATTTTCACAAGCCTCCTTTTGGCATTGCATATCTATGAACATTGAACATGCATCCAAATAAAAGCTCAAATTTTAATTCATTGAGAGTAACATGATAACAAGATACCAAATTTCTTACTATATAATCCACAACAAACTCCCAAATGAATTAAATCAAAAAGTCAACAAATTTATTATTTTGTCACTACCCAAAATTTGCTTTGCTAATTAGTATAGATTCACCTCCAAGACCCCAGGACAGAGTACAACCACAGTGGCAAATCAATCAATATACAGCAAAAATTTATCGTGTTTATGCTTCCGGAATCTCTCATGAACTATAATTATTTTAAACCATTCAACTTGGTCCAATCAAAGCAAACTCTGAAGCACAGGCATCTGAACAATCCAACTTCCACTTACTTTTGTTCGCAAAATAGAACATCAAACAAAATTTCATTCTAAAAAGCTCCCAATTCTCCAATTCATATATTACTCTAACTAAAAATCATAATAATAATAAAAGAAAAAGTTACCCAGATTAACTTGCCGCTTAGTCCGGTGCTTCTGAAACTTGTCTATAAGAAAGGCCCTCTCTGCAGGACTAAGAAGCTCTCCGAGAATCGCCTTCCTCCTCCTCCGCCATTCATCCATCTTCTCCTCCGCGTCGTCAGATACGTCCCCTTCCACCGACTTCAGAGCCGGATCAACCGCCGGAGCGCACACACCGGTCCAAGAACGATCGAGCCGTCCAGGCCCGAAAGGCGAATACTTGGGCTCCCGCAGCCCGATGGGCTTAGTGTCCGGGTTGCACTCCGTGTAGCTGAATCGAAAGTCAAACGGAAGGTCGGAGTGGATGATCTTCTTTCCAGTCATGTCCAGCGAAGATGGCGGACGATAGGGCTCCTTCTTCTTCTTCTTCTTCCTGCTCCAATTAACTTCCGGGGAGCTAGGGTCAGGGCTTTGAGGAATGGGGAAAGAAGGAGCAACGAAACCGTAACGGTCTTTGAGAATGGAAGAAAAGAAGCGGCATGAGAAAAAACAGTTCTTGCGGATGATTTGTTTGAAAATCATAGGACGGAGAGGGACTGTGGGAGGGTTTGGGAGGGTGACCCGAGAAACCCTAGTGGTTTCTTCGATCAGTTCAGCGGGGAAGAATAACGGGCAGAGAGAGAAATAACCGACAAAATCTTATTTTGAAATATTATTATTGTTTTCATAAACAAAATTATTTAAATTAAGTTTCAATTAATAAAAAAATATAATTGAATAAATTAAATTAACTAATTAAAAATAAAATTCATAAAATTCATTTCATAATTAAATATTTTGATAACATAATATTTACAAAAAAAATATTATATGTCCGGTAGAAAAGCTTTCGAGCCGGTGCATATCGAGACAACCACCTGATCATTGATATAACTAATATATTATTATCAATATATATATATATAGTTTAAAGATATATATATATATATATATTATCAAAATTTAAAGTGGGGCTCAAGTATTGTATAAGCAAATATTTATTGGTGGCTTTGTTTGATTAAAAGTACTAAAGTTGAGTCCACAACCTCATAATGGCCAAGTTGATTATTTTTTGTTAACGTTGGCTACCATGTGTGCACACGAGTGTGTTGGGGTGTCTGTAATTATGCTTACACATGTGTGTTGTTGCTATAAAAAATTTAGATTTTAGTAAATAACAAAAAATGGTTTTAACCACATTAAATGATTTTAATTGCCAAAAAGTTGCTAGAAAATATTTTAAATTAAAAAAAAATGGTGACTTTAATCCCCATTTTCGAGTGACAATATATCCATTTGTAGAGGAAATCTCACAATTCTAAATTCTTCTCTCATAAACTTTAGCTCATTTTCGAGTGTGTTTCTACACAAAGTTGGAGACCATCTTTTATGACAGAGTCACGAGAAAACCTTCAGCCCTCCTTTACGCGCTCTCATTTATTCTTATACTTTATTTTCTTCTTTTGAAAAGTTTAAATATTATCTCACAATTATGAAATGTACTTCCCGTTTGCAAGGAATGGACCCAAGTAGGGTTCACGGGGGGCAATTACCCTTCTCTCAAATTTAGATTTTTATTTATATGGAAGGAGAATTTGGCATTTTTGCATCTCCTGGAATATATGTTTTTCCTCTCTTGAAATATCACTTTGCCCTCTGTCACCCTAACATCTCCAACATTGAGTCTAAGATGACAGTTTGCACCCGAATCTCAAGCAGAACCAGGGGGGGTTATTCTTCTTTAAGTAATATAAAATATTCAATCTTGCTTCGTATACGCTAATTTATTCTTCATAAACTTAATTCATTCTCTTAAAAGATGTTAAATACCTCCCTATTCATGAAAATAGTTCACAACTTTGCAAGCTTCAATCTTTGTAATAAGCTCAAATTACTTTCCTCAAAAGTAGTTAAAGCCTATCCTAATGTTATAGAATATGGTTCCTCATTGCAAGTTCTAGTACATCTTTATCAGGAACAAGAGGTTGTTCTTTATAAATAGAAATATCTCATATTCATGAATGGGCTCTAATTCTTTCATCGTAAAAATGGCCTAATAAGAGTTCATCCATTAAGGGAGATCAAGATTCATTGCCCTCATGACAAGGCTCAGTCTTTCCTTTAATAAGACATTGATCATTTTTGTATGATTGATGAAATTTGGAGAAGATAGAGAATTGCACTCTATGGAGGAATATCCAATTTTTTAATGTATTTTTAACCATTAATATTATCAAGAAAATGTTTTATTATTAATAAATGCATCTTTTTACGTGTTATTTGTTTTAAATATTAGCATATGAGATTGATCAATGTACACGATCGAATTGATGATGTTATTACTAATGATTGTTGACCTCTTAATCTATATACAGAGCTGACTAAGGGTGTGTTTTGGGTGGCTCATTGCTTGTGGCGGTATATTGGAGAAAATGCCTACCCATTTGTTTGGAGTGCTCGAGCAACGTTTCCCAAACGCCATTTTTTTCTCTATAATAGACGTGGCCGCGAGATTGACCCCACGGCCCGCGTTCGTTCTCAGAAGAGTTGCCCCGCTGCCCGGTCTTCCTCGCGTCCATCTGCCTCTTGTGAACCCTCCGCTCTCACGACAAAAATCTTCGACTTCGTGAACGAACCTTCGCTGGCTGGGAAGCAATTAAGGGATCGCGGCTTACAAAAACCACCAAAACTCCTTCGGTCTTTCTCATCCTTTCACTCTACTTTGCTTGAGATCAGTGTGGAAGCGAGGGAGATGCACTGTAAGCATCTTTACCATCAAGATTCCATCTTGCCATGGCTCGCACTATGAAATTCCTGCATGATATGCCAGCACCAGATGCCGACTCATCAAAGGGGCAGTGGGGCGGCAGAAACAGTGCCTAAGACTTTTTGAACTCTTTAAGGTACAATCTACATAGAAGAGGTTGATGAAAGTACATCAATTTATTTTAGACTATAATCCTTCACATTTAATTTATTTTAGACTATAAATCCTAATTGCTAACCAATTGACCCCTTTCTGCCTTACTAAATCCAAACTATGATTACCACCATCAAAAGAAAGAAAAAAAAATCATTCTGCAGCATTATGTAGTTTAGAAGGTGTGGAAGCATAAGTTGAGTTATAAATACAATTTAGGAAGATTTACGTGTATACCTCTTCAATTTTGCATATATACCATGTGGTCCCGACTGTTCATATGCAACAGTATAACAATGTATTTGATTATATTTTTCACTTATTTTTTTTTACTTTACAACAGTACGAAAAACTTGATCCTGGAGAAAATAAGAATTTGACTTTTTAACTTATATATATTGAGATACTACGCAAGTATAAGTATCGTTATCAAGTAATATAGAACCTTTTGATTAAGCCTTGAATATCGAACCCACAGGGACTGTTCACAGTACGCGATAATTAAAGTAATAAACTTTCTACTTTAAAAAGACAAATACTTAAACTATAGTTTTTATCACGGGAATAAAATTTAAACTCTTTTTGGTATTTTTAATGTTTAAAAATGAAATAAAAACTTACTAAAGATAACTTGAGTTTATGTCAAAAAAAACACTTAATCTGGAATATCTTTTTCCTTATTATGAATCAGTAATAAGTATAAGAATTCTGTTGTGGAAGTATTCAAATTGTGTTATGTCAAATATAAACAATATTATTTTTTACCCTTACTATTTTTTACCCTTACTCCCTTACTAGAGATGTTATAAAGAACATTGACTAATTTAAAGTTTGAATGGTTCTGAAGATCGTTTAGGCAGTGAAGATACTAACTCTCACTCTAGAGTTCCCCGGTTCCCTCCACCTAAGCATTAACATCTCATATAAAATTCTAAAACAATAAACTAAGTTGGGGGCTTTATTCTGTCACTCTAAAGTCCTCTAACTCTACACTCTTCAAAGATTATTTTCCTATTTATTTGCACTCAATCATATGAACTAAATTCTTATTCATACAATCTCATATGATTCTTTCCAATTGTTGACTGAGACAATACAATCCGTGTTCTTACATGTTCTCACAACAAATTTTAACATCTAGATGGGTCACATTAAGAAGTAAATGAAGTGCATGGAATTAAATCATCACAACTTCTTTCATTATTAAAGATTAATGCTCTCCACAACTTCCTTCCAACACTTTAATTACTTATCATTTTAAGGAGAAAGATAAAGAAAACTACCCAGAATCTATAGAGAAAACAAAAACACAGTTTAGTTTAAAAATAGAAATTATTATCAAACCAACAAGAAGTCTTGATTAAAACTAAAAGTAGTTTCAAACAAAGATAAAAACTTATCTTCCTCCACCAAACTCTTGAAGTTTCTTTGAATCTCTTCTCTTTTACAACACTCTTAACCCTCAAAATAAAACTAAAAACAAAAGGAAAAATAAATTCGCGGTTCCTGAAATTTTCTCCACAAACTTCTTCAAGAGCATTTCAAAACTCTTCAGGACCTTTCTAAAAGTCTTAACTTTCCTCTTTTATAATTTTTCAAGAGGTGTTTTGGTATTGCTTCAAAATGTGTCCTGATTCGATGTATCTACCAATTGATGTCTCCTTTCACAAGTCCTTTAATTATATTTTCGGCCTTGGTGGTTGTAACCACCCATTTTAGCTAATACGTGTCTCAAATGTCCCTTTGAAATTCGTCAAAATGAATTAACCCGTCAAGTAACTGCATTGGCACGTAAGCACAAGGTCTCTGGCACTTAGGTGCGAGCTTCTCTATTTCACTGGCGCTTAAGCGACGATTCTTGCATTTAAGCGCCAAAATACTTTTACACCATTTTTGCATTTTTTGCTCCAAATTTGATTCTTTTTCACTTCTTTTAGCATTTTTCATCTTTTTATTTATACCTGAAAGAAAAATATGCAAATACCTTCCATTAAAGCGCAATATCTCAAAAATAGATATAAAAATATGTCTAAAAACACTATATTGTTTAGGTGTATCACCATCTCATCTTTGTAATGGTATATATATAAGATAGAAGAATGATCGACGATGAAGCAAGAAAGTATAACGAGAAAATTTACACCAGAAAACAGTAACACAGTGTAACACATAGATTTACGTGGTTCGACAAATTGCCCATGTCCACGCAGTTGCAGAGTATTTTACTACTTGAGGAATTTACACTAGCTATTCGTCTGGACTTACAAGAGGGATGTCTCACTTCGTTGTTATCTCCTCTTCTCTCTTTACACCGAGATACACCAAAGAAGATAAACTTTCAAGAGAAATAAACCCAATTTTTCTTCTACCACAAGCCAACAAAAGAAGTCAATGGAGAACAATCTTCTTCTTCTTCTTCTTTCTTTTTCCTTCAGCCGTAAGAAACTGCTGCTTGCACTTCTCTTCCTCTATCCCGAGGAAGCCCAAAGAAGAACACAAAAAAAAGTTGTGTTGTTGATCACACTCCATAGGAAGAGAGGAGGGTACTATCCGCGACTTAAATGTGTGGGGCAGCGTCGATTTGCAAAACGGTAGAGGAAGCGGGAGCTGTTCGCGAACAACAGGCTTAGTTGAGCTGTTCATTTTAAAAGTTAAAATGTTAATATTTTGTTTATTCAATACGAAAGATTTAAGTGATGTAAATGTTAAAAAAAAAAAAAAAAAAGAAAAATTTAAGCCATTGTTGGGTATAAATGTAAGAAAATTATTTATTCCTTTAAATGCAGAATTGTAAGCATGCGCGCACTTTTTTGAAACAAATATTAAAGCTGGAAAAGAACTCAACCAATCACATCTCTTCTTTTCGAAAGGTATTGAAAGGATGTCTCCATAATTTAAAGTGGTGAATTATTCTTTCGCTTCCATTAGCCCACGTTCGTGCCAATCGCCACTCACTCAAATAAAATAGCCGAATAAATGGCATTGAATAATTAGAAAATTGACGACATATTGGAAGTTATGATAATGTAAATTTTAAGCAAAAAAAAAAACTAAGAAATTAATAAAATATAATATATAACAAAATAAAAAAAAAAATAAAATACGCTGTAAGGCAAGGACTTATCAAGATGTCAAACACTCTAGTACTCTTCTTGCCCAAGTGAATCTAACTAAGGGCTCGTTTGAGACAGCTTATTTGGTGCGTTGACGTTTTGAAAATGCATTTGATTTGTTTGGGTAAACTATGTTTTGGCAGCTTATGCGTTTTCAAAAAGCTGAAAATAGTGTTTTGACAGCTTTCTGGTAAAAATAAAAATTTATAATAACCACCGTACCTAACTTATCAGCAAATTATTCAATAAGCTACAGATGCCCGAAGCAGGCCCTAATAAGTTAATTTTGATAGGATTCGGTGCACCGCTATTGTCGGAATGACCGTACCTAATTATAAGTCCTAATTTTCAACGACACTTTTAATAATTAATGACTAATCTAATTGTCACTAAGACTCGACTTTTTAAAAGAAAAAAAAAGCATTCCCAAGTACAAAAATATTGTGAATTGCCTTCCTCCTCCTCTATAAAACACCAACATTGCTTTAAGCTTTACTCACACATGAGATAGAGAGAGAGAGAGAGAGAGAGAGAGAGAGAGAGAGAGGATTGATGGCTGAATTTGTTCAGCTGCTGATGCAGATGTTGTATAGGTTCTTCCACAGAGTTGGGAGATTCACCCTGCTCAAATATAAAGAAGATAAATTAGGTTTTTTTTTTTTTTTGCGATTTATTTATTTATTTATTTATTTATTTTCCTATAGCACAATATAAATTACTTATCTCAGTTGAATTTTCTATGTTTTTTTATTATGATTATTTTCTTAATTTATGTGACATGAAGAAGTTAATTATGAAGAGGAAGAAGAAGATGACAAGGTGGAAATTTTAAGCCTACAGGTGATGATCTTTTATTTTTCAACTTAACTTAGCTTTTCTCACATATGAGAAAATATTTCGTGCGGTGGTCTCACATTTGGACGACTGTTTGGACGGGCCGTCATGCGATTCATGGCGGCACGATTGTATCTATATCGTTGTCCAGATGTACGATCCACGTCACACAATATTTTTCGCTCGCATATGATGAAGTATTGATGTTCTTTATGCTTAATTGTTGAAAGAAATTGTCTTGAGGTTTTCAATTTGGAATCTCTCAATTCAGAGCAGAGAGATTAAAGTGAGTCTGGCTTCAGCAACTCTTCCAACCCCAACGCCATCACCAAGCCCTCAGACCGAATAAAGAGTGATGGACGGTCGAGATCCTTTTGGATCTTCTATATGCCGTGCTTTATTTTCAATTAGTGAGGTAATTAAGGTAATTATTATGTATTATGCATATTATTTGCATGAGGTTTAGTGGAGTTGGTGATGAAGAAGGCCATGATGTGGTGAGTGATGTAATTATCCTCTTTAGAGGTATTTTATTATAAAAAAAAAAACTATATTATAAGAGTTGGTTATGTGTCATAAAAGCTTAGGGACATTTTTATAAAAGTGAGGGCATTAAAGTTATGGAAAGGGTGAAAAAAGAGAATTGTATGTGACCCTTGAGGGAATATTGTTGGCTTTTGTTGAATAGTGTTCTATCTTGATTCAAATTTGCCTATATATGGATAAGTGTATGGGAGAATATATTAAGAAATAAAAATATTCTCAAAAAAATAAAATTTATCAAAGTAAAGAATATTATAGAGTCTTATTATATATATCAAACATGTGATAATATGTGATAATATAATAACCTCTAGAAACTCTTATTTTTCTTTTAATATTTGAAAAATAAAGGGTCACATATAGTTTTATTCAATAAAAAAGTATATAAAGGAGTCCATCAAAATAATTAAATAACTTGCTAGTAGAATTACTAAACAACCAAATAGGGACAAGAGGAGAATCCAAAATAAACTCTGCAACTTGAAGAAAACCTTTGGAATGCATCTCAACTCCATCAACAACGTGAAATGTGACGTCCAACGTACAAATCTTATACAGTGACAACCCCAACTGCAAATAATTTACTTCCACATTTAAGTCACTTGGAGAATAAACAGACTTAATATCCAACAACTGTGGCTCTAAAGACATAAGGACATAAGATATAATCCACTATAAATGGATATTTGAGAAGTTCAAATCCCCACACAAAATTAATAAACAAGATCTATGATATGAACTAAGTGCGGCGAAGCACTAACGACTCACGCAAGTAAACGTGTTATATCAGTAGTATCCAGAATAAAATTTCGGGTATAGATCTCACAGAGAGTGGGATGAATCCAGAAAGAAAAAAATATAGTTTTACTAATGTCGGTCTTAGCATGAATGGTTCAATTTGTTGAAACTAAGAATTTTTTTTTATCTCATTTCAATTTTAAAAGAAGTTTATCCTAACAAGCAAAAGGAGGTTTTTAAGAAATTCAGGCTTTGAGAAATTTCCCTCCGTGAATTGATCTAGTGAAGAATAGAATTGAAAACGTGATTAAAATTTAGTGTCAAACAACAACTTTTCTTTTCCTTATCTACTTCCTGAAGTTTAGGGAAATTTGGTTGTCAAGAGTTTAGTTTTCTATATCTTTTGAACAACCCAATTAAATATTATCTCCCAAAACGTTGCCATAAACTCAAAAAAAATAATCCTATTCCAATAATTTAACGTGGTTAACCTCTTTCATTCCACTAAGCATCCTTCCGGTTCTCAAAGTTCAAGAAGGATGTTAACATTCCTGTTGATCAGTTAGAAGTAAATGAAGCAAAACGAGTTAACTCAACACTATTATGACAATTCACAAACGTGTCACATAAATAGTTTCAATATTATCTTACCGCTATTCAATTCAGGGAAGAATTAGAGGATCTACTCACTCTTCATTCTAAAAACCATCATATCAAACTTTGAGTTAAACATGGAAATCATACACCACATTTTCACATAAACTAAAACGAAAATCCAAACTATAAATGTACTTATGTCCTTTTCTAAAGCAAGATGGAAGATATGGAAACAAGCAGAAAATTCACCTTTTGATCCACTCAAATCTCTCATGTTTCACTTAAAAACTCCTTGCAAAGCCTCTGTCTACATTTTCAATGCTCCATCCAAAATACAAAAAATGAAACCCTCTTCTTCATATCCAACATTTTTATACTTCTCCAAATGGAGAGTCCCGTCTGAACTACACAAAACCGTAAACTCACGTGAACCGGTGCCTGGGCGCCTAGGTGCTAGTCACTAGAGCCTAGGCTCTACAGTTGCAGCGCCTACTTTCCACCTTCTTGAGATGAATATTTGGGCGCCTAGACGTTGTTTCGTGTCGTCTAAGCATTGCATGCACCTATTTTCTACCTCATGGCGCTTGGGCGCTGTGGGTACCTACTTTATGCATCATGGCGCTTAGGAGCTGCTCCCTCACTTAGCAATATTCTGGATTTTCTTCAGTTATGATGGCTCGTTTTTCCTGTAATCTGTAAAACACAACATAATTGCCTTTCAAAAGAATAAGATTAACTTAAAAACATATTAAAAAGAACATGACAAAGCATATTTTCTATACACATCAATCCACAAGAATGAATTGAGAGGACAAGAATAAGAAGAAAAATATGAGCTTAGAATCCCCCGTAACTAAAACCTGAGAACTCCATCCATGAGATCGAAAAAATTCCTAATACAGTTAATTTGTCATGTCACCTCTAAAGTCATCACAGCTCAATAATAAAGTACAATATCTATAAACAAAATCACCAAAAAAATAACTCATATTTAATATTTTATTTGTACTTATTTAGACTTAAAATCAACAGTAGTATATGTGTAGAAGAAGAAAAGGAGATGGCATAAAACCCAAACCAACTTCCAATCCATCAACAACTCCAAATAATCCAACTAACATCCATAAAGCAATAATTCCAAAATACTTATTTTCATATCTAAGAAAACTTAAATTTTAGAAAGAGTGTAAATAGTACTCTGATTCTCTGTTTTGAATTTTCACCTCCTACTTTTCTATTTTATGAATCAATCCAAGTACAATGAACCGTAACTTTCTTCGGAAGATATGAAAAGATCTTGTTTGCAAGATTAGAATGGGATATCCATGCTCGCCACATCTTTTAGGATGTTGAATCTTTCTTTGAAATGTAGGAATTCATATAGTTCGTGACACCACACAATTCGATATAAGATTCTGCGTGGATAAAATATCACTAAACAAAACATGAGAAAGTGAGAAGAAGATGGATCATAATCCATGATGAATGCCCTCCTCTCTCTATCGGATTCCTTGGAAGAAGAGGGAAAAATTATCAGAGAACAAGGAGTCCCTTCACCCCCAAAAAGTTCCCCCTTCCTCTCTTTTATACAGGGCAATTAACTATAAAATAATGAATACAATTTTCTTTCCCTTCACTGGCAAGCCTCCTCTGCAAAGTGAAGGCTTTAATTAGGGCAAAGTGTTCATCTGATGCACAACCCGTTGTCTGTGAAATGATGGTCATACTTTGTCTCAATTGATGGGCCAGAGCTTGAAAATTATCTAATGCATTTATTGTTGCTCATATCCGACCTATCCGTATGATAGTTCGTCCACCTCGGCCGGTGGGCTCGGTCATGACACTTAAATGAGCAGGCCCGATTCAACCTATTCAGTTGATCAACTCGACTCGTCCTCTTCGGTGAGTGGTCCCAGTATCGCCAGTTGGTACAATTGTGTAGAAACAGGAACCCCAAAAAGCAGCAAATAGGGAGAGAACTATGATTTTAACAAGCAAAAAGAGAAGAAAAGGAACTTAAAAACCCTAAAAGAGCTCTAAAAATTAAGACTTTCGCTTCTCTTCAAGGTTTTTAATAAAATTTCTCCAGTAATTCTAATTGATCTAAAGTTTTTCGGTTATGAATGTTTTAATGAGATGATTTTAAAGCTAAAATGAACATAAAAATAGAGAATGCCTAAAAATTTGAAGCAAATACTTATATATAAATATGGTCCCTCATGCCAAGTTAATTATTTAGAAAAAAATTGTATGCATTTCTATGACAATGATGATCGAAACTGCTTTTCTATTAACAAGGGAAAGATAAGAACGATCTTGAAAATTTCATTGATTGCCTTTGCACTTGCATACCTTAATTAATGGTCTTATCAGACTTAAATTGATTTATATGATTATCTGAACAAATGTGAATCATATATATAGTTACAATTTTTTGCACTATATCTTCCAATTTCCATCATAAAAATTACATTTTATTTCCTGATCTTGCTCACAAACCAAAAGAAGCCACTTGATATCAATTAATCCGCTAAATTTCCTTTAAATTGGATTCAAATTAGAATTGGATGAATGAAGAATACAATAAACCTTCTTCAAGGTTACAAATCAATCAACTAACTTCCAAGGAAATAAATTCTTGATTTCCTTCGGAAGCTCCACTTATTCACTAGCAAATCCAATTTTCACCCCAAACCCTCAAACTCCAACGGTCAAGAAATGTTTCAAATCTCCCACATGAAGCACATGAGATCCCAACGCCACTTTCCGATTCCCCATCTCATCCACCAAACTCATATCCCTGCAGAAGTCCACACTGAACACCACATTCCCCGCAGCCTTCGGCTCCAGCTTCAACTTCTCGAACCCCAACAAATGCTTCCTCGGCGCATTATGCACCGCCGGCGGCGTGTAGAAGAGAAAAACCGTGTGCCCTCCGGCCATGGCTCCACTGTTCTCCACTCTCATGTGAACATCAAAAGCCAGATTCTGGCACAAACTATCTGCAACATCGAGGGAACGGCAGCTCTGTTTTCGGCATTCATGTCCCTCTTCAAGAGGAATGGAGACGTGCTTGGGAGCATTTACAAGACTGTGTTTGAAGCTCGTGTAGCTCAATCCATCTCCAAACGAATAGACCACATCGCCGGTGTAGAACCTGTAAGTCCTGCCAGGGTAGCCCGTCGATGAATCCGGCCTCATACGCATATCAGTCATCGGAACCTTGTCGGCGAATGATTGAGGGTACCAAGTCACCGGCAACCTCCCACCTGAGATCAAAATAACCAAAATCTCTGAGTTCAAAACCTTGCTGACAAAAAAAGATTGAATTTTTAACGGTTTATAAACTCACTTGGATTAAACTTTCCATACAAAACATCGGCAATTGCGCCACCACCAGCCTCACCAGGGTACCCGACCCAAAGAATGCTCGAGATTTTATCATTGTTCTTCGCAAACGATACATCGAACGGCCCGCCGGACATGATGACGAGGATCACCAAGCCTTTAGCGGCTTTGGAGACCTCTTGAACAAGGATGGTCTGCTGTCCGGGGAGGTTGAGGTCTGTTCTGTCGAAGCCCTCGCGCTCGATGGATTGATCGGCGCCGACGATGAGGACGGTGATATCGGCCTGTGCTGCCGCCTGCTTCGCTGGGTCTAGTTGGAATCCGTTCGCTGAGCAGCTGACATCCGAGCAGCCGGCGATGGCCGTGACCTTTGAGTTCGAGGTTGCTTGAATCAAACCCTGCAGAGGTGTTGTGTACTTGCACGGCGTTCCTATCGATCGCAGATAATTTAATTGTTATGAACTGATTCATGATCCTATAATCATGCATGACTTTCAGAGATGTAAATTGTGCATACCTTCATAGTTACCGATCATGGTCTTGGTGACATTAATGTTGGGGCCAATGACTGCGAGGGAACCCATGGAGGAGGGATTGAGAGGGAGGGTATTCTTGGAGTTCTTGAGCAAGACGATACCCTGTCTTGCGGCTTCGCGGGCCAACTCCTGGTTATCTTTGGTGCAGACATCGCTAGGACCCAGCCCGCCGTATGGAAGCTTTCTTGGATTGCCATCGAAGAACCTGAGTCTCATCTGGGTAGCGAAGTTGTTCGTGATCGCTCGATTGATGTCAGCCTCGGTCAGTTTCCCAGCCTGGACTGCAGCCTGGCTATGCTGGCTCAGGAACGATCCACAGTCAAGATCAAGTCCTGTTACAGCACTCGTGTCTGTCAAGCTTATAACTTTATTGTAGCAAATAACATGTAATTCGAGAAAATGGAAAAAAGGTTAAATTTTGATTGATGTTAAGTATGAATCTCATAAAATTATAATTATGATAAGATTAGCTATATGTGATAATTGGATGGGAAGTAGTTCCATCACTTGCCAGATTTGATGGTTATAGCTGCTGCATCCTCAGGAGTCTTAGTGTAATGTTGGGTATTGTAGAGCACATCAACTGAATCACAATCAGAAACTATATATCTGCAACAAATAAAATTCGTTTAAGAAACCAAACAGTGAAGTATATGGTTCAAAAAATGCTACAGAAATCAACAGCATTTCATATTTTTAGCAGTATACTAACAATCAGCTTAAAATTATATATATCAAGAGTTTCGAAATTCCAGAATTTAAATATTTTGAAATATTTGAGAGTTTTGAGAAAAGGAAGAAGAAGAGAGACCCATTAAGCTTCCAGTTCCCCCTAATGGTTCCAGCAAGTAGATCAGAATCAGCACAAGTGGGCTTTCCATTAACCTGGTTGTAAGAGCACATCACACTCGCCACGTTCCCATCAATCACACAGCTCTTGAATGGCGGATTGAAGGTGTCATCCAGATCCTGCTTTGTCACCTAAACGCCCCCAAATAAAATAAAAATTTAAAATCCTTCCTTCTTGTTGCAAAAAATTGTAGATTTAGAGAAAAATAATTTATTACAGCATGAAATTTAAGTAAAAAAGGATTCTTTCAGATTGAATGAACAAATTTTGATTGCACTTACAATTGCGTTAAAGCTGTAGCGCTGTACCCCCTTCCAATTATCAACATCATAAGCAGTATAATGCTTGCAGCAGGCCCCAACCTTGAGCTTATCATGTTCATCAGCTTCCTGCAAGCCTTTAACATATGAAGAACCGTATTTGCTCGATAACAACGGATCCTCGCCGGGGGTCTCTTGCCCTCTCCCCCACCGAGGATCTCGAAATATGTTCACGTTCGGGCTCCAGAATGTGAGTCCAGCCAGCCCGACATTGTACATTGCTCGAGCTTCCGTCGAAACCACCTAAGTTTAAGTTATCAAAGTTTTTTAAAAAAATTTCATCAGGATCAAATCCAATTTACAGAATCATAAACAGAGTGGATAAATATATAATTTACATTTATAAGTAGCTCTTTCTATTGATTGACAGATTGATATATTCTTGGAAGCAATACATATGCATGTGATCTTCTAATGTCATAGATTTGCAAACTTTATCAGAAGGTATAACTACCAATTATTGTAAGGAGACATTGACATCTCGACTAAGAACTTCATAATTTCACTCAAGGCAAATAGTACATGAGTAGGCTTTCAGTCAAACCATTTAATACTTTTTTTTTAATTTTCTAATGGAGATATTTCATAATATGCAAATTATTTCTTTACTTAATATATTAATTTGGAAAAAATAGGGTGCTATTTGAAAATGTGCTATTCTATGAAGATTCATCGGGAATATTTAAAGTATTTAAGAAAAAGTGGATAAGTATCCCTTCAACGGCAAAGCATTCTGAACAAATTTAAGGTAGCATTAGTTATGCAACACTTCACGCCAAAGCAACATATTATTATACACAAACATTACAATGATAATCCAAACATCTTATAAGCAACAAATAATAATAATAATAATCCAAACATAGTTAAATGTGAGTCTCCAACTTTGAATTTAGGAAAAAACATGCAAATCTTAATGCTTGTCAATGAATGAAAAGATGAATTTCAATTTTAAAAGCTAAAATAGTGGTACTTCTCATGTGAAGTGAGAGATTTTGAGGATTAGAAATGTAAGAAAAATGCAAGCTTAAGGGTGTGTTTGGATCAACTTCTGCTAATTCAGATAAGCAGCTTATCCTGAAACGCGTTCTGCAGGTGATCTGCGCAGATTGACCCGCGGCTTGCGTGTAGTGTAAAAACACAACCGCATTTTCGAATAAGCTGCCGAAACATGTTTTCCAAACGGTGAGACTGTGTTTTGAAAACGACACCCGCACTTATAAGCTGCCCCAAAAGGCCCCTAAATGTTAGATGTGCAAATTCATAATAATTGGGTGGTATATGTAAATCTTTTTAAATATATGATATAAATTCCTGATATTGATAGAGAATAATTAACACAAATATCAAAAGTATAAATTGATATAAAGGGGTAATTTCTCCTTCTCACAACAAACAAAAACCCATGTAATTTATCAACCAAACAATTTTAAAAAAAAATTTTTTTTTTTACTACAGAGACTGATGAAAACTAATTTATACTCAATTTTTTACCAATTTCTTTTTTAATTTTCAGAGAGAGAGAGAGATAGAGAGAGATCACAGAAACAATTAATCGAACACCAAACACACCAACCAGAGCTTTTTTATTTCACTGAAAGCCATTCAAAGTCAAAAACGTGTTGTGAAAAGCGCAAGATCTTACCTTTCCAATCGCTGTGAACAAAGAAGTGTTAAAGGACGCGGCAGTCAAAATCACTTGAGGAAAGCTGGTCGCTCCAGGTACCAAGCTCGAAAAATGGGTCCCCGGACCAACATAAGAAACCCCATGAAGCGCCTCCGACCACCATTCGTAGCTCGGGATCCCCAGCCTCTGCACAGCACCAGCCTTATTGCCCAAAAATCCAATCTTTTCTTGCAATGTAAGCCTCCCAACTAAATCCTTCACTCTGGAATCGATATTCAGACTCCGATTACAGAAGGCGAAATTTGCTAGGCTTGGATTCCCATCGATGTCGCACGCAAAGACGGGGCTTTGCGCCGAAACAGACCTGAAAGAGAGAAGACAGAGGAGGAAGAAGAGGGAATAAAGGTCGGATCTTGCCATTGTTTCCGGCGAACCCTCTGGATTTGAAATGGGTGTTTGGAGCTCGCCGGCCCTTTTGGTTTGGCTTGCGGAGGTTGTGGAAAGTGAGGAGGGGATATCGGGCTTATATAGTGGGAGAGATGGTTGCTGTTTTTTCCTGCTACCCGTGAAGGATACGGAATTGATTATTTAGATTTTTAAAGTCGTTAGGGGGAGTTAATTGGATGGATGGGATGGGATGGGATTTGGGGGCGGAGGGGGAAGAGAGAGCAGATAGAGGGAAGGCTTATGGGGCCGGGAGGACATGGAAGATATATTGTGGGCTTGCCATGCTCTCTAAATTCATTTTCTTTTCTACTTGTACTATTTAAATGTTTTTAAATATTGATAGCTAGAGATTAATAGATAAACCGGATATTAAATTAAGATACATATTATCATAAAAGAGTAGAGGTCTTCCACTTTTTTTATTTTATTTGTCAAGATTAATTTCCTTAATTACCATTTATCTCTTTAATAGTTTCTTATCCATTTCAATTTTGTTGGATAATACTTAATATAGTTTTTTTATTATTATTTAGTCTCAAAAAATCTTGAAAAATTGAACTTTGTTAGATATTTTCCTCTTTCATACTATGAAATTCTCCGTTAATCATGTTATGATCAATCTACTGTATAAACTCCCACCCCATTATTAATAATTAAAATTTCATTTTTAAACATTTATAAGTTTCTCAACATAACTACATCTTCATTTTTCAACATGTATGACCTCTCCTATCTAGTGGTAACCCTTTCTTATTGCACTACCATAAGCTTAAAATTTAAGAAGGTAAACTTATGAGGAAGAGTTGGATCATTGCTAACGTAATTTTATTGAAGTTTTTAGTTGAATTATCTCTTTAATTCCATTTATATTGACCGTAACTCAAATGAACGGTGAAACATACCAATAATAGATGTTGGGAACTCAATAGGCTTCATTTTTCTAGTCTAGCCTAGTAAGAGGCTTAAAGCAAATTGGTTAGCTAATGGGGAGGATAACCTTTACTTCCTCTTTGCTATTAAATGAAATAAAAACTTTATGTTCACTAAAGAGCTATCTACTCTTACTAGATGTTTCTACTCTCATGTTGCTATTTTAGTTGCTATGAATGGACTTGTTCTCTCCTATATTTTATCGCTCCCAAATTGATTATATCTTCTTTTTTTTTTTTTTTTGCTTTATTCCTCCTCATTTATTTATTGACATTATCTGTTGTGTTTCTAATATAGAAGTCAAGAATGTGGTATTCTATACCATAATATTTTCACACTTAAACTTAATGATTGTTCTATTAAATTATTATCTTTCTCACATGATGTAATTAGCAATGTTATTTGTAATCCAATTAAGGATTCTCTTTTATACAATTAGTTATCCAAAATAAGTCATGGTCATTGCCATTGTTTTCATCCCTTTAGCGTGTCACAAAGTTAACATCTCAGCCTTTTTGTTCATCTTTATTTTTAATTTTTTTTTTAAAGAGCTAATGTGAAGTTGCTAGCTAATAAATTAAGGAATTTCATTGTTTTGAAATTAATCAAGCCCAATATGACTTTACTCAAAAATAATTAAAAAAATATTTGGATAATGTTGTTATGACAAATAAAATTCATAATGACCTAGATTGGACTATAATGATCTGTACTCAAATACATAAAAATGGATTGCAATTAAATCAATACAGTTCAAGTTTGAACTAAGAAAAAAGTGATTTTAAGCTTACTCATATTTATAATCTTTTTTTTATAATTCTAGCTAGACATGTACCAAGCCCTTATGCAAATGCTATGCAATAACAAAAGCATGGTCATATGTGGAGTAATGTTTTGTTTTTGGTATATGATGTAAGATATTTTCAAAAATAATTTTATAAAATAATTTTCAAAAATCTATCTTCAACAAAATAATTTAATTTCAAAAAGCTAAAAAAATAATTGAAGATCAACTATTTAAAGCCAAATACTTCATTTGGTATGTATTTAACTTTGGCTACAACCATTTTGATAATACATTAATTTCATCTCCTCCATTTTCAAATAAACTTAATATTTTGTATTTTGTATTAATTTTTGACATTCCAATTAAATATTCTTAATAATTAAATACTACAATATCATCATTAGATTGAATAATGTTTAAAATTAACCTATTAATTAAATGAATTAAGTCTCTGAAAATAGCTTAGAAATCATAATAAGATAACTTCTTTAATTAATTGATTTAATGCTGGAACAAGTATGCCTCTAGAGAGCAAAAAAATGAAAGTGATAAAAGCAATAATAAAGAAGAATATTCTCAATTATGAAGACATAAATAAATATTAAGCATGAACTATAATATTAATATGAAAATATGATAATTATAATAAATATAACATATTATAACTTTACTTTTGAGGACCTCCCTAGTTTCAATAAAATTTTATGAATTTTAATAATTAGTAGGATTTAAATCCTCTTTAATTATGGTGCTAATTTCATCATGATTATGATAAATATTATTCAGATTTAGAAAAGTTAAAATAAATGCCCTCAAAGTTACTTCAAACCAGCATATATATATATACATATTTAGGGCTGTCAAAAAAGCTCGTTGTTTGCAAACAGCTCTTGTTCGACTTGTTAAGTAGCTCGTGTTCGGCTTGTTAAGTTAAATAAACGAGCCAAACACGAATAAGTTTTTAAAGCTCGAATTATAAACGAGCCGAATATGAACAGATCTTTGCTCGCTGGTGTTCAGCTCGTTTTAGCTTGAAGTAAAAAAAATTAAATAATAATTTATATAATAATATATTATACATATTTTTTATATAAAAATATATTACATATATTTATATATAAGTTTAAATCGTAACTTCTCGTGTGGTAATGTAGTTATGCGCCTTTTTTTTTTGCATATATTCAGAGTAGGTTCGAATTCAGTACTCAACATCTATTTTTTAGTTTAATTTTAATGAACCAATTTCAAGTGCAACACGAGCCGAACACGAACACGAATATTTAAATAGAGCCGAACACGAACTTACTGCTAACGAGCCGGTTTCGAACACGAGCCAATTTCGAACAAGAACAATTTCGAACGAGCAGAACACGAACCCAGCCTGAGCTCGCTCAAGCTCGGCTCGTTTACCGCCCTAATCATATTAACTCCTATTGGAATTGTAAAATTCCTTCTTCGCATAAAAAAAGGACAATTTAAAAAAATTATGCAATGATCTATAATGTATTTTTAAAATTTCCTATAATATTTAATATATATATATATATATATAGCGATTGAGAAAATAAACATTATAGTAAGAAAAAAAAAAATGACACTATGAAAAATTTTCAAAAAAACATGAATTGAAGTACAATTATATACATAGTAGTAATAAATAAGCCTTGACGAATAGTTATTGAGTTTTCATGACCAAGTCAGATATTATTAATACACAATAACACTTAAAAAAATATAATAAATAAATTATAAAAAACAAGTTTAAAATTAGAATGATATTTGATGGATATTTGCTTATCTTAATGTTATTGAAATTGAACGATTTTGTGCTCATTAGATTTGTTTTGTCGAGATATTTGATTCGATTATAAGTTTACCAGATTCAAACTCCTTTTCAACTTTCAATTATGTCTGAAAAGCTTTTAAAAGTAATTTAAAGCTTGATATAAGTTTGATTGGACTCAAGGTGCACCAATTTGTGCATCGTTGGGTCAATCTGATCGAGCTGAAATTTGCCTGTTTTATACGATATTTAATTGTAGTACTAATATTATTTTTCAAAATTTTATCGAATACATCGATATTTGTGTCAGTTGATATTTATGACTGTTTTTTTTCCTTGCAAAACCAATCACAATTTGGTATTTTTGTAATGCCAAAAGCTATGAAATGATTGTTTAATTAATGTTCGATTAACGTAGACATGTAACCATCAAACTAAAAGCAAGTTGGCCAAAAATTAATTACATATTAATATTAGTGTTAAATATTTGATAAAAGTTTGATGGTGTGCGGCCCAGCCTGACGTGGATGATAATCATAATTACAATTATTTATATCGAAAAAATATTACAACAGGACTCCGCAGGTAGAGCTACATGCAGAGCCCAATAAAATTACGCCGTGGAGGTGATCTTCCCGGTAACACAAGAGAATATTCTCCTCGTGTTATTCAGGTGTTATTGTGTGTTATTCAGGTGTTATTGTATGTTATTCAAGTATTACTGATGTGTTATTCTGTTATTATAACACCGAGAATATTCTCAGAACACAATAACACATGAATAACACTTAATAATCTGCTGATTATTTATAATCTGTTGTTGATTATTTATAATCTGCTGATTCCGATAATCTGCATATTTAAAATAAGCTGGCTTGCTATTTGGGACAACTTATTTAAAATAGCTTATTGGTAGCTATTGTTGTATAAATGATCTTTCTGTTCCTGTCTAGTAAAATTGTTTGAAACTTAACGAAAATGAGAACATCAACATATAATACTATGAGCATATAGTGCAGAAACATGAAAATCATCACAAATCAGTTCCAAAAGATGACATACAGTTATCACACTCTCGTGAGTATCAGAAAAAATAAAAAAAAAGATAAAGACATCAAACAAGTTTTATTATGCAATTGTGTAAGGTTACATGACTATGAATCTCAAGGCAGAACATTACAAAATACTCTCAGCTAACCTGATACAATCAGTGGTCCTAATTCTTCTTCCAGGGAGGGAGAGGGCAAGGGAGATTAGGAGTATCTAAGGCAACACTTGTGGCTGAACGCGGGGCGCGGGTCTTTACCCGCTTCGAAGACCCTTAAGGAATTCCCGGACGCGGATGCGGTGCGGCATGAATAATTTGCACGAACGCATGTTACATACAGTGTGGCGGCGTTTTGAACTACCCGTTGGAGACTATTTGGACACTTTAAATTAAAGTCAAGAAAGAGAAAAAAAGTCAATGTAAAGTTAAGTCCAATGATATTTAGTCTCCCTATGAAAATCGTTTAATTAAAAATAATGACTTGAATATGCTTTTGGAGCAAATAACTTTTTTAAGCAGGGGTTAAGTGCAAAACAAAAACATTAATACCCGAATTCCCGTGAACGTGGGCCAATCTAATTGGCTATTTTTGATGTCATGGGTGAATCTTCAACGTGCCGTTAACCTATTGCTACCTAACATACGTCACGAGTAAACAACCACCAATCAATAGCTGAAATAGCTGAAAATTCTCCACGTAAGCAATTCAAGTATGGTTT